AATTATTTTAGCAATTGGGACTGCTGTGTGGAAATGCAAAATGCCTTAGAATATGAATAAAGGTACAAACATGCTGCTTGTACAGTATGTGTGTTTTTGTGTGTGGGTATGTGTGTGTGTATGTACAGTGGGGCAAAAGAGTATTTAGTCAGCCACCAATTGTGCAAGTTCTCCCACTTAAAAAGGTGAGAGAGGCCTGTAATTTTCATCATAGGTATACCTCAACTATGAGAGACAAAATGAGAAAAAAAATCCAGAAAATCTATGAGAGACAAAATGAGAAAAAAAATCCAGAAAATCTATGAGAGACAAAATGAGAAAAAAAATCCAGAAAATCTATGAGAGACAAAATGAGAAAAAAAATCCAGAAAATCTATGAGAGACAAAATGAGAAAAAAAATCCAGAAAATCTATGAGAGACAAAATGAGAAAAAAAATCCAGAAAATCTATGAGAGACAAAATGAGAAAAAAAATCCAGAAAATCTATGAGAGACAAAATGAGAAAAAAAATCCAGAAAATCTATGAGAGACAAAATGAGAAAAAAAATCCAGAAAATCTATGAGAGACAAAATGAGAAAAAAAATCCAGAAAATCTATGAGAGACAAAATGAGAAAAAAAATCCAGAAAATCTATGAGAGACAAAATGAGAAAAAAAATCCAGAAAATCTATGAGAGACAAAATGAGAAAAAAAATCCAGAAAATCTATGAGAGACAAAATGAGAAAAAAAATCCAGAAAATCTATGAGAGACAAAATGAGAAAAAAAATCCAGAAAATCTATGAGAGACAAAATGAGAAAAAAAATCCAGAAAATCTATGAGAGACAAAATGAGAAAAAAAATCCAGAAAATCTATGAGAGACAAAATGAGAAAAAAAATCCAGAAAATCTATGAGAGACAAAATGAGAAAAAAAATCCAGAAAATCTATGAGAGACAAAATGAGAAAAAAAATCCAGAAAATATGAAAATTACAGGCCTCTCTCATCTTTTTAAGTGGGAGAACTTGCACAATTGGTGGCTGACTAAATACTTTTTTGCCCCACTGTATAATTATCAAAACTACAGGCAATATGTAGCGTTATCCTAGCTCAGATTCTTTTTTAATAAATTCGGATATATCAGCAGGATACTGTCTTACATGACCTGGCCACTTGATGGTGCTGTTTTATAGGAATATAAGGGGAACAGCACTATATAAGCTGACTTTGGCTGATCCTGAAAAGCTGAGCAGGATCAGACAGGCCATAACTTGGGTAGAACATAAATTAGGAAGTTGAAAAACATTCTGGAAGAAGACAATGACAAAACAGTTTCATATTGTTGCTAAGGAAACTACATGATCATGTCCATGAATACATCAGGAGTTGAACTCCACTCAAAAATACTATTTGTCTCGTTCCAACATTATCCTAGGCTTTTAAAAAAAGACTCTAAAAACTGAAACAAGCATGCATGCTATGGTATCTGAAGGAATATTTTCTGTTTAATGATGGATTTATAATTTATATTGTGGATCTGCCTCCCTCTGAAGATTAGCCTGGCACCTTCGCATTAGGCTTTCCAAACCCATTAAAGACGGGCCTTTTGAGGAGAGAAGAGTCATCATTATGCCTATTGGTTTATAGTCATTTTGTGTTTCTATTGGTTTTGTTTCTACCATGTTTTATGGTGAAAACTACTAGCAGTCATATGCCAGTGGTATATAAGCTCAAAATAAATAATTGCATAATGGAAGAAACATGATTTGTGCCATTTTGGAACCCATAGCGCATACACTTGCACACTTCAAAATCCTTTCCAGAGTTAGAGATCTGCCAAAGCAGCACTGGTTCAGGAGGTCCAGTATGGAAAGGAAATTGATAAAAACTATACTCTGTTCTGGTAACAGACCTTCCAGTAGAAAAGATTTGTTCTCTTCAGAGGGGACCATTGAACAATATATTACAGCAATTCTTTGGTATAGACTACTATTATTATATTATTCTCATTAATCCCTGTGCTTGGAATGTAAAGATTAACTGACAAAGAAAATGTCAGAAGAGAGAAGCATAAGGATTTCTGAAAGTTCTTGTGGAGTGCTTCATAAATGCTTTCAAAAAGTGAGCATCCAAGCATCTTCTATCACTGAATATCAAATAGCATACAAACATAGAAATGTTATGATTAGCAGTACTTATAACTTTTGTAGGAATCCTTTTTACATGCACAATTGCTCTTTGATATCAGATAAGCGTCAAGCAAGTACCATAAGGAATTATTACTACAATTAACCCCAGGCAGTTTGAATAACTTCTTTTCAGTGTGGTCTACTTTATATCTTTTCTCTTGCTTTATTTTAGGAGAACATTAGTTTTTTAAATTCTAGTTTTATTAGAAACTTACCAGTATACCCTAGGAATTGATCCACCCTGTTATAACAAGCTAAACCAGAAATTCCAATTAATTTTAATTTTACAGGCACTTCCCATATCTTAAAATGCTAGGATAGGGTCCATAAGGTGTATGCTGTATGTAACGTGTAATGGCAGAAGCTTCTCAACACAGCTGACAGAATTCCCAAATTATGCCAATCTAACATTACAAGATTATATTCCCAACTCATTTCATCCGGTGAGATGCACAGGACAGCATGGTAGGAAACAGCTCTTAAAGCAGTGTTCTACTTTTCTCTGTGTGGTGTATTAATACAAGAACAAGCATAGCATAATGCTCTCACTGGCCATTAGTATGTTTTCCCATATATTGCTGTTGTTGCACCAACTTTTATTTTTTTGACACATTTTAGATGTTGTCAAATCTGTGCAACTGCCCCTTCATTAGTCATGCAAGTTGTTTTTCAACTTGTACGGAGAACAATTTTGTGTGGCTAACGTTACCTTGTCATATACAATAAAACACTTTTACAAGTGTTGATATCAAATATCTTTTTCCAGACATACTGTATTGCATTCATGAAGAAGTAGATCTCAGTCACTGTGAAAGTTAATCCCAAGTAAGCATATATGGGATTACACTGTTCTTCTTATACAGCCATTTTTTTTTCCAAATTGATTTTAAAAGAGGCAGTATCAAACACTCACAACTTTAGCTTTCTATAAGATGAGTACTACAGTTACAAAGGCAATTTTTCACTTCCAATATCAAGAAAAGAAAGCTTTGGGTCACAAAATATTACATTATACCTGTTTGATTTGGCTCTCCCTTTTCTCTGGTTCTTTTTTTTTAATTTACTAAGTACCATTTTTACACAAGCAGAGCCTTTGCAATGAGTAAGGCTGGTACCAGAACAATAAACGTGGATGTGGTTATTCTAGCAATATATGAAGTCTTCCCATGTGGTTCCATAAGAAATCCAAAATTATTAAGGAACACTGATGAAGGCTTCTGTCATGACTTCTTGATTTATAATAACACCAGTTTATTATAATCTGGAGACATCTAGAGTTTATATTACTTTAGATGGAAGAAAGCAAATATTACCCAACCTTCCTTTCTCATCACTTTCCCTTTAGCCAAGCAAAAACACAAGTAATCTGCGTGCAGGTGGGACAGATCCTTAGGCTACACAAAATACCCAATATTATTGAGGTTTAAGGTAAGGAGATGGAACATACCAAGAAGTAAATTTTAAAAAAAACCCTCTGGTGTTAGGTAAATCTGTAGATGTACTGGATGTGAGGATCCAGGTTTTCCCAGGAATCAAGGCCCATTTTATCAGCACCACCAGTGGTGTTTGAATTGACCAGCAGAAGGAAATCATCCAATCATGGACAGAGTCGACTCCATGTGCCTCCAGAAGATACTCTTTATTCCCACAAAAATATGTCCTGATATGGCAGTAGACAAACCTATATAAACATGGCATGCTGGAACATGCAAGTGGTACAGTTATTCTTGACCCTCTCTGTTACCGTTTGGAATACAGAAAGCAAGACCCTAGCTTCAAATCCTTTCTTTTAACTCATGATGTGTCAGAACTGAGTGAATGTTAGAGCTATCCTCTCTTTGAAGCACCTTCAAACAATGAAGCTCCCTCATGTTCTGCACTATATCATACCCCAACGAATCAGGAATTTGACGGTATCATTTGGAAGGCATCAGGCTGGGGCAGAAAGGCATAGTGACACTACTGCTGAGCCCCAGAATAAATAATACCAATTGCTATCAGATGTTTTACAGCATGTGCACATCAGATCTATTAAATCTACGTCAATTAAGATTGCCACCTTTTGTAAAATATTAGAGGAGATAGTGATTTAAAAAACAGAAGGATGTTCTTTCCATTTAAAATACCTGATGTTTAAATTGTTTTAGGGACTATTCACCTGCCCTATTCTCTACCGTACCTCAAAACAAAAACTAGCTCATTACAAAAACCTTTTCCACCTCATTGATCTCTGCTGACCCTCAGTTAAATTTGTTGATTTTTTTTTTTGCTTCACTTCTAGTAGATCACTGATACCTTTCCTCACTCCACAGTATTGACACTCACTACTTGAATAAATATTTTTACAAGTGGGCCACATTTACTAAAGCATTCCTCATGCCCTAGGATTTCATCAGCTATGTCCATATGTATACTTATCCTAATAACCTGTAATAACTATAGTTGAAATATATAGTACTAGTTATAGGGTTTCTAGCATATGACCTATAGGTAAAAACAGTTTTATTTCTTAAATAATTAAATTATTTATTAAATTATTATTTAATTATTTAATTAATAGGGTGACAGATGTCGCAGCGGGATCACTTTAATTATTTAATTAATAGGGTGACAGATGTCGCAGCGGGATCACTTTAATTATTTAATTAATAGGGTGACAGATGTCGCAGCGGGATCACCCTCACATCAATTTTCTGCCTATATTGCATGACTGGTAGGAATCAAATACAAAGAATAGAGCTATTACACAGCTTTATTTTCTTTCCTTTCAAGTCTTAGAATCAGAAATATATATATATATATATATATCAAAAAATGCTGTAAGTATACAATGAACCAGAAATTCAAAATTTTCGATTTACATGATCAAAATACTTAGTATGAGACTTCTTTGAATGATCACTGTTAAAATAACAACACATCTGTGTCTTATTTCACCAATGTGCCTTCACATTGAAGCTTGAAACTCCTATCCTCAGCAGCTTGTCTCTGAAATCAGAAACTGTTTTTTGTAAATATTTGCAGTCTTTTTCCAGTAAAAGACTACTTATTCTATTTTCAAGCGTCAAAGCATCCTTTTTTAAAATTGCATTAATTATATGAAAAGTAGAATGGTAGTAAACAGTATTTGGAAATTACAGTGCATTGATAACACCACAAGCATCATAGATGTAATACATAATTTGTATACATATATAAAAACATATTTAGAGAAATGCTGACAGCAACATACTGTCAATGAGAGAAGTCCCAGAGAACTTATACATAATCATTCAAACTGTAACCATTGTATGAAGCAGATGTTTGTGAAGGACTGTGATTTGACTTGTAAGCCTTTGGTGGTCTGTAGGATGGAGCTAATCTTGTACTTCTTGATTGTTGGTGGTAATTTATGTCATTCTCCACCCGCTGACATGAAGCACACAAGATTATTCCACCAATTATACTCAGTGAAGCACACACAAAGCCAAGGTAAAGGGCATGCCCAATTTCATATTTCATCCCATTGGGCAACATTGGGTTGTAGAAATCAGTCACCACATCATTGGTTGTCCAAGAAACAGGGATGAGACACACAATTCCAGCCAGTATGAAAAGGCTGCCACCCAGGATAGCAAAGATGTTTTTGGCAGAGGACCCTTTGGCGCATTGGGTGCACTTCATGCCAATAACAGCAATCACACATGCCAGAGTTGAAAGAATGCAAGATATCACCATCATAGCCCGGGCTGCTTGAAGGTCACGAGGCAAAGCAAGTGGTGAGCGGTGGAGCTGACACTGGGAGATCCCAGTGCTGTGCCAAACACATTCCATCCAGAGACCCTTTATGTATGCCACAGCTGTGATAATATTCATGCCCACATGAGCGCTGTTCCACCAGTGAGGCAGAATGGTTGCAGTGATTGTTCCAGCTAAGCCAAGAAGACTCAAGAAAAAGCCCAACAGCTGAAATGCCATGCTTTCCATTTCAATGTCTGCCTAGATATTCTGTTGAGATCTTTGTTGGGGATTCTTCTGAAAACCACCTTTTCCTGGTAGATATATTGCAGGTTTGCTTTGACACCTCCTGAATGCCTAATAAAGAATAATTGCAGGGGAAGAAGTTAAACATTATAGGAGTATATTACCCAGTTTACCAATAACATGAATTCCAAGGGTAGTTAGTGTGATGATTAGCATATTTCACTGGAAATTAATGAACTCTGTGAAAATGGGGAGGAAGCTCATTATTATTTATATAATTCTATCAACCCCCAAAAGAAGGCTATTGGAAACAAATTATGACTCTGGAACAATGTTTTCAAATGATTTTTGTATTCTTTCTTTTAACATCAACAACAAAATCAGAACATTCACAAAGGTTAACTCATGAGACTGGAAAGGATTTATGAATTATGTGCCTGAAAGCTACTTTGCAGAATGAAAAGTCTGAAATTCCATAAGCTTGTTCAAATGGAAAATGCATTTGGTGTAAGTACAATAATAATAGCAATAATAACCACACACCAAAAAAAGGTTTTGAAAGGAAGCATACAAATATCATAAATAAATAATGCTTTATATCTGCTTTGACCATAAAAGCAATCATCTGAGATAATTCTACTTGAAATCCTGTAATAATATTCAATAATGCTGTACAAAAGAAAATGGTGTTTAAGACATCTAATCCCACCTGAATAATGAAGAATAGTAAAATTTAAGAAGAGGATGTAAAGTTATTTCATAATTTTTAAATAAAATGAAAATGTCAGATAATGTATCCACCAACATATTCCTCAGCTGATTATTCTGATTTCTGTTCAGCAGTTCACAAACACAGCATGCTGTTCAGCATACATAATTTATGTAAATACAACACGGCCTGGTCAGTTGAAATAAATGCAGGTAATGTTGAATTTTGCTTTCACATTTACTTTCATTTAATAAATTATCTACTGGTTTATGTATTTTATTCCACCACTGTCTATTTTTATCTAAGAATCAATATTTTCAACCAACTTTAGTAACTCAGATTAAAAACAAATGAATCAAAGCAAATGTAAATGAAAAATAAATCTGATTATAAATGGGAATGTCCCTTTTAAGCTATACCATTAACAGCAGGTTATTCAGCCTTGGCTGATTGAAAAAGCTAAGTAGTGTTAGACCTAATTAGTACTTAGAGGGGAGCCATCCCAGGGCTGTAGACCAAAAAGTTAAAAAAAAGAAAATTCTAGAAGAAGGCACTAGCAAACCATTTCTGCATCCAAGAATACTATATAGATGTCAACGTATCAAGGAAGTCTGTATATTATTAAGTTCATATATACTTGTCTACTTAAAGTAAATCCTACTAATTGAAGACTTAGCAACAACTGAGAAACTAGAAATTATTACTGATGTTGTACTGGTCAATGACTAAAATTGTTGTTGTTATTGAAAAAAAACATCTGGGATTGTCTTTCTGTGGGCTTTTGTTTCCAATACAATTCTTCAGGGCTTGGCTTTATTTCGTTGTCCTTTAATTTTGTGCCTAGGTCCTAGTACACTCTTTGTTTTAACTTTTTTCCAGTTAAGTAAAAATATATGATACCTATGTGTGTTGTGTACGATGTACAGTTTGGGCACTCATCTTATAAGAAGACCTCTCAAGGTCGGGCCTTAAATCTCATTGCCAGAATATAAAAACTAAGTGTGATTTCTGTCATTAGTCACAGGAAATAGGTTCCAGATTTAATGTAGGTCGTGATACTCAATAGCTAGGCAGCAACTATTTTTAGAAGTCATTAAGGTGTTATTTTATTGACTCTTTCTAATTTGGGAAACTGGTGTGTGATGGTCTCCCTTCTTGACGTCATGTTTTCCACACTCCATTCCTTATATACCTTGCCAGCTCCTGCTTTAACTACCAAAGAATAATTGTTCACCTTCTATTTAATACCATCAAAACTGCAGAAAACCAATACATGTACATGAAAGAAATTTGGTGCCTTGAAAAAGCACTGCTATTCATATGTTTATTTCCAGCCAGTTGTGTTTCCAAAACGTCTGCCAAAGTTAATACAATGTAACAGCATTCACGTTGCATGCAGCTAACAAGTATCGATATACACATGTACAGGGAATTTATATAATGACTGATTTGGTTCAGAGCCAAGCCATAAGGCAACAAAAAACAATATTTTCAGATAAACACCAATCCACAGTCAATTATGTATTAATGTTTAATATGTAGAAAAATGTCTTCTGCATTACATTACAAAGGCACCAACAGCCATAATTTCAATTATATCCTTTTTAGAATTCACAGTTTCCATTTTTGTAGGTTTGGGGGGAATAAAGAAGCATGAAATCAGTGTAGGTATGATATCAATTTTCTCATTAATATAATAAAGCAACTATCAGATAAGTCTTCCACAACATCCTCCACATATGTAAGCATTTTTACCTTAACAGAACATTCCCAAATGGGCCTATAACTATTCTGATGTAGCTGATTTTCCCACAGTTTAAGGTTGCTGCTTTTATTCATATTAATAGTTGTTCTAGTCTCTGTAGGGTGTGATCAAAAAGTCAAGATGGCAGCAGTGCAGGTGTGATGGAAGCTCTGCCTGTGTGCCACACACGTATCAAACAAGCAGAGCTTCCATCACACCTTCGCTGCTGCCATCTTGACTTTTTTACCATGTGCTGCAGACACCACTGATGGACTGAAACTGTTAACCAAAAAAGATACTGCAGAGTTCAGCTTTGTGGGTGGTAACTGCCATCATTTTATATGAAAAAGCACAGGAGCAAAGGAATATTCTAAAGTTGAAAGTTAGTATAAAGAAATGATAAATAAAAAAAAAAGAGAGAAATTGAACAATATAGAAAAATTACCTTTAATTGGATAGAATACAGCCTAGTATAAAACCCACATAGCACTAAAAATGCAAAGGTAATAGACAACTGAAAACTGGAGGGAGATCTAAAGGAATGGTGTGCCAAATTTGGCCTGGTCTCCAAGCCCAACAGGAATATGCTCAGGATATGAGCAAAGGGGCATTGATCACAAGGCCTGCATGCCTTAATTCTCAAGCGTGTGACTGCCAATCTCAAGGGCAACCCACCCCAAATTCTTTGTGTATGTCTGTGTGTGTGCGCGCCTTTGAGTCATTGTTGACTCCTGACAACTGCCTGGACTAGTCCCTGCAGTTTTCTTGGCAAGATTTCAGAATTGGCTTGCCCTTGCCTTCTTCCTAGGGCTGAGAGAGCGTGACTGGCCCAAGGTCATCCAGCTGGCTTTGTGTCTATGGCAGCACTAGAACTCATGGTCTCCTGGTTTCTAGCCCAGGGCCTTAACCACTACACCAGATTGGCCCAAAATTCTTACAGATCCCTAAAGCTACATCAGTGTATCCCAAGAGGAGCAGATGAAATAGACATAAATAAAACTACAAAGAGCAAACGACTACAACAGGAGAGAAAAAAGTACAGACCACGGAACTAATAACCACAAAAGAAAAGAAGTATTACGTATGAGGCATAGACATATGTAACAGAAATGTCAGAACACTGAGCCGGAAATAGGAGTCAAATATAGATCATGGTCACAGAGTTGTATTAAACTGACCTGCCATAGAGTCACCAAGAGATGGGCTTCTCCTGAAAACCAATATCTACTCTATCCTGGTCATCAGAAAACAGATCATAACCCAGGCCTCTAAGGATCAGGGGTTTCTAACAGATATGTTTACCATCCCAGTTAGCTCCTGAACCAACTGGAACTGGCAACAGTTATCCATGCCTTGATCACGCCCCATTTTAGACTGTTGCAACACATCCTGCATACAGCTACTTTTGTAATGAGTTGGAACTTGGAACTGATGGAGCAGCAGGTTACTAACCAGTCCAAGGTACAGAGATCATATGATGTCTGTACTGAAGATCTGCAGTGATTGCCATAAGCACAATTTAAAGCTTTGATGTGAATCTTTCAGCCCTAAACAGCTGATTAATATTTGAGGGGGAGTTTTTCATGTTATGATCTTGTTTGACCATTAGGATCTACAGAAGAAGCCCTTCTGATGATATCCCAGCTGGTAGAGACTCATTTATCCGGCACAAGGGAAAAACGCTTTTCCTGTTTCGTTCCCAGGCTATAGAATGAACTCTTTTATACTTGGCCATTAAAGTATTCTGTATTCTTTTGGGACTTAGGTTTACTACCTACTTTCTCATGGCTCAGAAGAGCAGCCAAAACTTTCATTGCTTTTCAAGGCAACTATTTACCTTTCAATTTACTTGTTATACTTTAACTCTATTTTTGTGTATTCATTAGTTTAACCTTCAGTGTTCTTTGCAGACAGAAAGTCGGCAGGGTATATACCTGATTATGACTATTCCTGGTTTTTCTAATGGCTAATGTTCTGTTCATTTGTTATAAGCTAGACATGAGCAGTTCCTTTTAATAGCAATTATTTATGTTCTGGGTGCCAAATTCTGTGGGTGTAAATTGCCAGTATTTTTGTAAACATCTTGAAATTTCAATCACATGCAAAGCTACTGATTTGTTATATCACCTAATTTCTGTTAGTTTGAGGCTGATAGTCTATTGCATTCCAACTTCTCCCAAAACTGCAGATCTTATTTGGAAGTACCAATTATATATTATCTACTGTATTATTATTGTTACTGTTGCTATATAAGCAAGATGAGTATATGAATAGCATATCAATTTTACTCTTAAATTTTTAAAATCAAATCCCAGTATTGAGCTAGAACAGAACTGGAAAGGAAAAAGCTAAGTTTTGTGTCAAAGGCACACCAAGAAAGCTCATCATTACAAAGTTTAAAGACTATCGCCTAAAGTTCTTTATTTTACTAGTGCACTCCAGATATTGGACACCACCATCATTGTCCTTTTAAGTGGCCTTTATTCCTTAGTCATACATTAGCAGAGAGGAACTGGCTTGAGGAGAGCTGGTCTACTGGTCAGCGGCAGTGATGATGCTGATGCTGTGAATCACCTTGATGGAGGTGAATGTCTCTTCCGTGTCATAGGCAGTTCATTCTGCAGACTGTTCATTGATGGAGATAGTGGCAGCCTGGATTCACCTGCCAGAATGGAAAGATGGGGGAGGGGGCAACACAGACAAGATAGAGCTCATGGTGTCAAAATTGAAGCCCCACCCCATTTGTACATTTGTGTAATATGGGGCTTGGGTCATGACACCATAACCTCTCTCTTGTCTGTGTTGCCCCCTCTCCAATCTTGCAGATGCTACTGAACAGAAGGGTTATGGAGAAACACCACAGTAAAGACACTAGAGATGGCAAAGTCCTGCAGCCAGACCAACCCTGTTCTGCTGCAATACCATGAGTGGCAGAGGCTTTCTGGGTGATGTGCTGATGAGGAAGAACAGCAAAAGAATCATGCTTTGCTTATCATGCCCTCCACGTGTGTCATCAGCACAGCCCCATTCATCAATGAGTCAAGAAAAGTAAAATAGTGCTCACCAATTGGGAAGCAAATTTCAGTGCAGCAGTTTTTTGCTGATACAGGGATGAGTGGATAGGACTTTAACTCAGCAGTGGAGAAAGGCTCAAAATTTGCTTTAAATTAATTTGTCTATGATATCCAACTCCCTTAATTTGGGGATATCAGATTTTCCTTAGCATTAGAGTCTATGTCAAAAATTCTCCATATGTTTCTCAAGTTTACTTACTGGTAATGCAGATGTATACCTGTAAATAAATATATAGAGTAAAATATTCAATTTATAGAAGTGTTTTATTCCTCACAACTAAATATTTTCAATATTAAAAACAATGGATATTTTCTTGAGTATTCTGTTTGTTGCCAGTGTCAGCAATCTAATAAAATAGAAATTAAGAAGTGTTATTTTTCTTGACCCAGAGATATTGTGATCATTAAGATACACGCCTACTTAGAGAATTCTTGGATGAGTTTCATTTCTTTTCCGCCATCACACACATGTTTGAAGTAAATTGTTTGGAAAATCATCAGAAAATAGGAAGTTTGTATACTTTAAAATTTTGCTGTTAGCACTGAGTGTAAATAAGTGATGGATAGCACTGTAATTGAAGTTTATTTTTTCTGACAGTGATTTTTTTAAAAGTACGGAAATAAAGACATAAAAGTATTCATAATGGTTGCCAGAGCTACTATTTGCCTAAGGGATAGATGGACCTGCATTGTATAGCTTAGAAGAAACCAGTTAATGCTAGTCCCAAAACAGATAAGATTAAGCACCAAGACCATTACCAGATAGATACTGTTATTATATATTTAGTTTAGTTGTTTTTCAAATTGTTCTGATAAAAATCTAATAATTTTGAAAGTAGTGTTCAAATCATAGGCTTAACTGTCTATAAAAGGAACAAAAACACACCCTTTAACAAAATGCCAAGAACATTCATGGACAAACAGGACGGAACATCAATTCTCTGCTCTTCCAGACTCGATGGGCTAATTTGAAATAGAAAATATGCCAAAAGAAATAAATAAATTATAAATACTATAAATTATAAATACTATAAATTGAATTATTGTATAATTATATTACACAATAAGAAATTTATATAATTTATTATAATAATGATACAACCATATTATAAAATACTAGAATAATTCTATTATTATTATTATTGTTGATTTATTATAATTTTATAACATTTTTCTTAAAGGTCAATAACAGTTTACATTTTATGAAAATAAATGTTTTCATAGTATGTTTTATTGCATGGAGAGAGCCAGTTTGGCGTAGTAGTTAAGGCACCAGGCTGAGTTCTAGTCCTGTCTTAGGCACAAAGCCAGTTGGGTGACGGTGGGCCAATCACTCTCAGCTTCAGCGGTAGGAAGGAGGCAACAGCAAACTACTTCTGAAAAACCTTGCCAAGAAAACTGCAGGGACTTATCCAGGCAGTTGCCAGGAGTCAAAAACTGACTCAAATGCACAAATATTATTATATTATATTATA